CCCCCCTCCTTCACACAGTTTTCTAATGTACATTCAATAAATTCAAGCTATTCAAAGCAGCCCTGCAGAAAAAGATCTCTCCCATTGACTTATGGGCTATGTTTTCATTATCACTCTCAAATTAAGGCTTGAAAGTTCATTACTCCTTAGTTTTAGTAAGTGTTTTATGGCACTTGCAACACAGTAAGGTCATATAAGTGCCGAAGATTAAAGGTGTTAAAAGAAAGTAACAAACACAAAAAAGAAGGAGGGGAGATAATGACGATTGACGTTTGATAGGAAAAAAGAAGAAAACCACACCAGAGCACCTGCCAACCACACACTTCATTACTCCTTCAGCATCTGCAAGTCCATGAGGAATAATACTAGAAAACAGAGAATACATTAACGCAAAAACAGACTAACATACTCAGACCCTCAGAAACGAAGTAAATATGTGAGGCATCATGGTGAAATCAGGCGCTCGTCAAAATAGTGAAAATAAAGATATCGCATTTTTCCTTCAGTTTGACAATTTTAAAAATAATTTCTGGTTTTTTGCCTAAACACCTTTTATGCTCATATGAAAGCACTTCCATGTGAATTTTACTGAAAAACCTTGTTTAAAAGCACAAAATATGTAATTTTCAGTTTTCAAGGACTCTTGTAGTTACACAACTTGGGCAGCTATTTTCTCATTAATTTAAACATTGAAACCAGGCTACCCCACATTCTTCAATCGTAAATATCTCGACTTCTATTCATGATATAGATCTGTGTATTATTTTCACTGAAAGGAAGGCAAATAAACAAATTGTTAAATGATACTAGTAATTGCACATGTTCAAAAACTGACGAGCACCTGACTCCACCACACATATGCTTTTCGTAATCTGGTGGGCAGCAATGGGGAAAGAAAGGAAGTGTGACCTACCAGCGGTGCATTCCAACCATTAATGACATATAAGACAAACATCTTAAAATTGATTAAAACGGCCAAAATTGTTTTCATTTTAACTGTATTGCATATCAACAGAATGGAACACTATGTAAATGTCACCAATGGTAACAGCTTTTTATGAACAAAAGTAGTGGACCTCATAATAATGGACAGAGGAGACACACACACACACACACACACACACACACACATACACACACACACTACAAGCGTGTTTTAAATACAAAGAACATAATGTTCCAAAAAAATTAGGGACCACAAAATCTGTTCGCAATGTGCGCGTTTCGCTATATGTGTGATAAAATGTACTTCTATTAAGTTCTACACTGTAAAACAATGAACAAATAGATGGTTTACAGTTTACAGCACAGTGTGAGAATAGAACACAAACTGTTATCTTTTTTTTAAAAATAATGTCTGCAGAAATTCACTAAGGTGTGCTTCCCTTGCCTCCTCGTGCATTTTGATTGGTTTAGTAAGTTTTATGGCATTTGCAACACACATAAGTCATACAAGTATCGATCAGATTAGAGATGTCACTACTCAAGAGTAATATACAAAAAAAACGAGGAGGGCAGAGAGGAAAATACAGTCGAACATGACTATAGCGGGACTTTTAGTTCCAGCAGAAAAATCCTGCTGTAGGCAAGTTCCTACTATAGGAATGCAAAAGGGAATTGCCAAAAAAGTCACACACTACACACTCTCCTCTTCTTTTACTGTCTTTTTGGCCTAGCCTAGGGCTAGGGCTAAGGCAAATCACTTTTGGAGAGGCTCACGTAACGCCTCTCTCCGCACCATCTCTCTCTGCCGCCTGCCCCACCTCACCCATCACTGGACTGGCCAATCACAACGCCGCACCACTGACTGCCTGTTTGGAGCTCACCTACAGCCCCCCACCCCCATCCACCTTCCCCCAACCTAGAGCTCGCTTGATCTCTGCCGCTGTATCAAAGTTCAGGCCTTTTCTTGTTCCGTTAAACCCAAGCACAAGTAATTGAGTTTACATAGACAAAAAGGGGATTCCAGTAAGGTCCCGCTGTAGCGGGTGCCACTATAGTCATGTTCTACTGTGGATGTTTAAATAGAAAGAAGGAGCAAACGACACCAGAGCACATGCCAACCATCCACCTAGCAATTTGCAGAGTAGCAAAACTCTTCATTTTCTTACAAGATCAAAGTAACAAAAACATGAAGCAAAAGCTAATTAAAACAGCTGAGATTCATTTTAAAAAATAACCTAACAATTTTCCTGTGAAAGAGAGAACAGCGCCTCTTGCACAAAGGGGGGTCTCAGATTCTTTTGATATTACCAGAATGCTCTACAACATGCTCTACGCACTTTACAACTATTATTATCTCAGCGGACCTCAGCACAACTCAGAAATAATCTCCTCTTTCTGGGAAACCTTCAGTGCAAGCAGCTGATTGAGCCCTACAACACTAAAAAACAGATAAAATCTTTTGCTATCCATGGCTGGGTAAGCATTTCCGCCAGGGTGAAGTGAGGAAAATTCAAGTGCAGTTCCTTTCTCAAGAACACAGCCTTGCCCCCTCCATAGGGTTTGAACCCACGACATTTTGATTAGGAAACTGACAGTCTAACCACTAAACAACAAAACATCGTGTCATTACCAGCGTGAGCACACATACCCTAGCGCATGTTGTTTGTTTAGTAGAGGTTTTACAGCGCTCGCAACTGCATACGGTCACATGAGCGCCAAGGGGCGGATGTCAACGGAGAAGTCCTTACAGGGAATCAAACTTACTCTACTCACCTCTCTAGCTTCAACAGCACAAAGTCTGCTTCAACTATCAAGGCACCCCGGAAATAGCAGGTCACAAGAGTGTGACAAACACACAAAAGTAGAGGAACAATGACCATAGTAAGGATTAGGAAAGAAAAAGCAGCAGTTCCCTGTTACAGGTCAGGCACAGTTATGAACGTGACATTGATGAATCAGCTCATTTACAATTACGATTCTACAGTGCATAAGAACTCGAGATGTTAATGTCCCCCCCCTTTGGGAATGGCCTAAAGACACTTCAGTCAGTAGCACCGCCTCGGGGGGTGATACCCTAGCGCACACTTGAGAGTGAGTAACCTTCGCATCTGAGCACCAAGCGCACTTCTCCGTATGCAACAGTGTACATCAGGTGTCAATCTCCTGCCTTTAGGCCAATCCCAGCCCAATGAGGATTTCCATAAATGCCTAACACTCCTCTACTTTTTTATTATAACATTTGGCCTAATGGGCTTTACCGCGACTATCATATAGAGTATTTCATTCATCGCAAAAATTGTTCGTCTTATAGTTTGAGTGCATTACTCTCTTAAAGTTAAAAAGAGAGAAAAATAATATTGGAGGGGAGCAAGCAGCTTTTATTTGTGCTATTAAAATCTAAATCTATAATAACTGTTGATAACCATCAAGGCAGCCTAGCGAACCATCTTTGAGCTCCGATGTGGCCTCATTGGCCAACGGGTTTACCCACCCCTGGTGTAAACCTTACAGCTGATCCACAGTAACTCAGCAGCACAAGCACCATAGGTTCAGGGGAACAGGGCTCAGAGAGTCAAAGTCAAAGTAAAGAAATGAGTATGACATCAAACCAACATCAAGTCAAAGTCAGGAAAAGAACGTTCCACTCTACTCCGAAGATGTTGCACATGGCTCTGGTCTACGGGAAGTAACTTTTGTAGTAGTGGCCTCCCTTGCCCCTCGGGGACCTGTAGCTCCATCAGACAAGATGTATTGGCCAACTTTTGCTGGCACTCTGATAAACCCTGGAGAACAAAAAAGAGAAAAAAAGTACATAGAGGGGTGCCACTGGGATTTCGTGAAAATAACCAAATTTATTGAGTTCCATTTGTACACAGAAAGACGGTTGGAAGACACACAGCTAATATGAGGTCAAACAGGAAATAGATACAGAGTACACGTGCTATCTGACCCATCTCTGACAAAACAACAGGTATCATGGCTGTGACAGCCTCTGAGAATAAGGCTCAGTCTTTGCAGAGAGTCACTATAAACACTGATCATAATCAACCTGCCACTGTCTCTGAAGGACAGATTTCCCTTTCAGTAAAAGTAACAGGAAAAAACGGACAAACAGCAACCCTGCTTGCTTCGTTTTAGAAAGAGTCAAACTGCACTTGCAACACAATCAGGTCACATAAATACCAAAGATTAGAGGTGTTACTAGAGTGTAACATACAAAAAAAGGAGGAGAGATATAAATGATAGATGTTTGACAGGAAAAGAGGGGCAAAGCACACCTGAACACCTGTCAACCACTCAAACATATCTGTAGAAAATACCGATCTAAACTAATAAAAAGAAGGAAGATAATTTTACCTCCATCAAAACTTCTTTCACTTGTGGATCAGTCTTAATCCGCTGTCGCATGATCATACTTTCCTGCGCCGAGAAGCCAATGAGTCCAGTCAACACCTGATCCCAGAGGAAAATTAGATGTAATTCAAAACCTCTCTCTCTCTCTCTCTCTCTCTCCCTCCTTTCCTCTCTCTCTCTCAAGAGCTACCTTTTAGTATAATTTGGCCAAATTCAATAATGACTTTCAAAATCAATCACACGTTTTTCAAGGACACAAGTCAACCATCAGATATGAGCAGCTAATCACAAGACTTGCAGCCTAAGACCTAAGAGCCACAAAGAAGGTCAGGGTCATATTTTTGTTTCGCACAAAATGCAGAAATGGACAGTAGATTTGGAGAGGTTGATACTGGCAAATCTAGAAAGCTATCGACATTACCCATGTCTGTGGGGTTTAAGAACCTCTCAACACAGCAACCTCTGAATGCGGCAGTTGGCACAAAGGCTGTGTCTTGAACAGTAAGTCATGCGTACCAAAACATCGTGCCCCGGTCAAACTTTTCTATTCTTTTCAAATTTGGCACAACAATAATTGGTCACTATTAATAATGTGAACAAAGCTGCTATTAATCGAAGCAACCTCATTTGATCCGATCCTGCCAATGGGCACCCTGTACTACTCTTATTGTAGCCAGTACTGCCGTAAGCTGACAGAACGTCTTTTGTTTATTTGGGCACACAAATTTTTTTATTTGGTAAATTGAAAGCCTGATCACTTACCCTACTTGTGAGAGAAAAAGATCGAAGTGAAACTGTGACTAGTTTTTTAATAAATTCAAATTCGAATTTCGAAAGAACGCTTCATTTTAATGCCTACACTGATAAAAAACTCTTTTTCTCGAAACTGCTGTGAATAAAAAAAAAGGTATCCTGGCAGTATACGGTTTAGTCTACAGTTCTCTCACCGTGTTGTGCAGATCGACCTCCACAGAGGCAGTGCCGTCGTTGATCCGACAGGACAGAGCCCATCTCTCGCCACCGCAGCTGTTCAGCTTGTCCGTCAGGGTCGAAATATAAGCCTGCAGGAAGAGAAAAAAATGTGTTGCGACACGATGGGATACGGCCCTCAAGCACTTCTCAGTTTTTGGACATATGGAGTTATTGGTACAATGTATAATCTTAAAGCCAGTTCATATTCCTTGCTTTGGATGAAATACATACCAATCTTGAATAGAAGTCAAGGTATTTATAATTGAAGGAGGGGATCCCCTGATGTCAGAGGTAAAATTAGAAAGAAAATAGCCACCAAAGTTTGTTGACCTCCAAAGCCTGATTAGATGCACTTTGAAAAACTAATTGCAGATTCGCATTCAGCTGTATTTTTTCTATACAAAGAGATCTTTTCCTTTTAGTAGAGACAGCAGTATGTAGAAACAGGGTCTAATTATTGGTAAATGACCAATAAATCTGACCCTACTCTTTGTTCCTGGGGATCCAAACTGCCCAGTGAATCATGATCTGTACTGACCTCGCGCTGAGGGTGTACCTGGTATACCCTTGAAATCCTAGTTTTGTTTCCTTCACAGCTTTGCTTCTACACAATTCTGGCTTTCGGCGTTCATATGACCTAATTGTGCTGCAAGTGGTGTAAAACTTATACTTTAACTAAACAGTTCTGAATTCAGAGATTTATTTTTTTGTCTTCATCATTTTCTTCGCTGATGTGATTGCGTCTTTTTTTAGGCTATTACTGTATAAGCAGGAATTGCACATGATAGGGTCTAGAAATAAAGGTATCTTGTGTGTTGCGAGCAAAATAATTTTTCCTAGCACATGGGTGGGGGATGGGGGGGAGTGGGGGGCTTATACTACTTAAAGTTAGCAGTTAACGGGTTAATGAATAGAAACATCTATGTGCAAATACAACATACAAACCTTGACAGTCAGGGTTGAGCCAGGCTGAACAGAGGACACCTCACAGAGATATCTGAATGGTTGAGAACTATGAGAACCTTCGCCATCTGTGACAAAAAGACAGAGGAGATCAAACACGGATCAGGGATGCCATCGAGATTTTGTCAAAATACCTGAAAATTTGCAACACTGTATTAGCAATCAAAAAGACAATTAACAGACACAATAAATAAGAGGTTAAACAGAAAACAACTGCATAAAATATAATTCTGGCAAAAAAACAATGAAAATAACCGGGAAAAGCAGGAAAACGTCCTCCCCAATATATGAAAAGATATTCATTTATTATCTTTTTTTTTCTGCTTAACATAAGAAAGGGAATAAATGTTTGCACCTCCAGCAATAATATTTCGATCGTGTTGAAGAAAACCTGCTTCCACCTTGCCTGTCAGGGCCAGCCTGGGCTGGGAGAGATACAATCTTCCAACATACAGACGGAGACAATAAGAAAAATACCCTTTTGGAAGAACTGTGTTCAGTTTGAGTGGATTTCACTATATTTTGTATAGGTAGGAGGATACTAAGCTTCTTTTGCTCACTTCGTCTAAGGTGTCATCCTTAAATACCCTTTCTACGTGGGAATCGGACTCACATCTTACATGTGCAATGGCACACCGCCTAACAGCTGCACCACAAACACCAGCCACCAGCACTCACCCAATAAATATTAGTCGTAAACAACTACCCGAGCGTTTGGGTTTGGTTTTTTTCAAAGTACATGTTTTTAATCCCCCCATCTACATAATTTAGATAATTCAAAAGGTGGGACTAAGGTGTCATCCTTTGTCGTGAGTGGTTGCAGGGTGCCAGCGGCATTTGTCGTATGTCTTCCTTCCTCCTTCATCATGTCTTCCCCTCTGTTGCTTCATTCTTTCTTTCTTGGGTCTTTTGTTTCATGAGGTAAATGGTTGTTTTGTGCATCGATGTACATGCTTGATACTTGTAATTATTTGTTCTCCGGAGAAATGTGGCACCCCCAGGGCAGTGCCACTGACTGAAGTGTCTTTAGGCCATTCCCAAAGGGGGGACATATCTTGTTCAAGCATAGAGTTGTAAAGGGGCTGATTCAGGTCACGCTCATAACTGTGTCTGATCTACAACAGGGAACTGCTGCTTTTTCTTTCCTGATCCTTACTATTGTCATTTTTCTCTACTTCTTTTGTATGTTTGTCACTCCCTTGTGACCTGCTATTTTGGGGTGCCTTGATAGTCGAAGCAGACCTTGTGCTGTTGAAGCTAGAGAGGTGAGCAGTCTAAGTCTGATTCCCTGTAAAGACTTCTCTGTTGACACCCACCCCTTGGTGCTCATATGCAGTTGCGAGTGCCATAAAACCCTCTACTATAAAAAAAAAAAAAGAAATGTGGGTGGTTGGAGGGTGCTCTGGTGTGGTTTGCTTCTTCTTTCCTCTCAAACATCTATTGTCTTTATCTCCCCTCCTTCTTTTTTATGTTTGTTTTCCTCTTGTAACACATCTAATCTTCGGCACTTACATGACCTTATTGTGTTGCAAGTGCCGTAAAACACTTACTAAAAGTAAAAGGAGAAATGTAATCTCATATTGGAGTACCCGAGACTGAAATGGGTCATTCCACGAACAGTGAATCTGCTGTTAAACAAGTACCACAGAGATGATCACCCGTTGAATAACAAAAATCTAAGCAATGATTGAGCTATTATTGTTAGTATTATTTTTAGTATTAATAACTTAACTTTATTTCTCATTTCTTAAAAATAATTTGTTTGCTTTCTTTCGTAAGAGCCAACTTTCCACTAACAACACTCCCTCTCCCCCAAGCTCTATTACTGTTTAGACTATAATATTATAATATTACAATGCCTTTTAGCAGGCTATCATCCTGCCACTATGTGTGTCACTGCAATTTCGCTTTTCATGGAATTGCTCAAATGTGTTTCATATCATTCTGGAAGGAAGTTACATTTTTCCTGCTCGTGTTTTGTCAACAATGTATCTCTTTCTTTTCATTTTTTCCCCAGCAGAGAAAATCTTTGGTCCACAACAGCACCTTTCACCCAACCCAGTGTGGCCCTTTGATCTCTTATATTTGTTTTTTGTTGACAACAGGAGTTTTAATGTATGGCACCTGACATATTTATCTCGTATTTCTTTTTTGTTTATGGCTTTTACCTTTGTCAGTCAGTCCCTTTGTTATCTTCAATTTTTCTTCATCAGAGCCGAATTGTTTTTGGACTCTCGAAATCAAACAAGTTACCTGATTGTGGATTTTTTTTTAATAGAGGGGGGGGGCTGCCAGTCATTGAATTTATTGTTATCGTGGCAAGGTGGTGTAGCAGTTAGATCCTTAGCTGTCGCGTGCAGAAGACCTGAGTTGGATTCCTGTGGGGGTGGAAATTTTTTTATTTTCTGCTGGGACATTGTATCCCTCTCAGCCTCGGTTTGCCCTGGCAGGCCCACCTTTTTAATTATCTAAATTATGTAGATGGGGGGATTAAAAACATGTACTTTGAAAAAAACAAAAACCCAAACGCTCGGGTAGTTGTTTACGACTAATATTTATTGGGAGAGTGCTGGTGGCTGGTGTTTGTGGTGCAGCTGTTAGGCGGTGTGCCATAGCACATGTAAGATGTGAGTCCGATTCCCGTGTAGAAAGGGTATTTAAGGATGACACCTTAGACGAAGTGAGCAAAAGAAGCTTAGTATCCTCCTACCTATACAAAATATAGTGAAATCCACTCAAACTGAACACAGTTCATCCGAAAACAGTGGTAAACTAAAATAAAATAGAATACCCAATTTATTTTTTCTTCTATTTGAGCAAACTCTCTGAACCAAAAGCTGGGCTAAACTGAAGAAAATCCTGCTGCACACCTACTGTGTGTGTGTGAGCGCGTGTGTGTATGCGTATGTGTGTGTGTGTGTAAGTCTGTATGTGTGTGTGTGTGAGTGTGTGAGTGTGTGAGTGTGTGTGTGTGTGTGTGTATGTGTGTGTGTGTGTGTGTGTGTGTAAGAGTGTGTGTGTGTATGTGTGTAAGTGTGTGTGTATGTGTGTATGAGTGTGTGTAATGTACATATCATGTGGGTGTGTGTGTGTGTTTGTGTGTAACGTGTGTGGTTGTGTGAGAGAAGGAGAGAGAAAAGAGAGAGAGAGAGAGAGAGAGAGAGAGAGAGAGAGAGAGAGAGAGAATGGGCGCATCCTTATATGTATGAGAGTGTGTGGATTTATCTTACCAGCTACGCATACTAAAACTCAAAGCATAAAGCACAGTCACCTACCTGAATCAGAAGAGCTGTCCGTCTGAAAGGGCCGCACAACTGCCTGTGGTACCACAAACGAGCTATCAACATGGTCGCTCCCTGCTGCCAAGGACAACTTGGGAGAATCCAAAGACTTTCCTGCGACCCACTTTTCATTCCTGTCATGTGACAGCGATGACGCCCTATTATTTTCTGCCGAAGTGACTTCCGAGTTAATTTTTTTACTGTTCTGACTCGTGTTGAGCGCAAACATATCTGAAAGCTTACACTGCTTCGACATTTTCTGAGGTTGCGATTTAGACTTGACGAGCTGCGTCGATTGCTGTGATGACTTGAGCTGTTTCGGCGTAGTATTTATCTCTATCCCATCCTGCTCGGCCTTGGCTGAGGAGAAAGGTGGGGAAGTTGTGCCTGGCTTACGAGGCGGTTGTGACGATGGACCAAATCGTGACTGAACACCTGGCGGTTTCTGCTGTCTTGCAGACCATGTCCCAGAGGGCAAAGTGTCTCGTGCAGGTTGCGAGTTTGTGGGGGCAACGCCACGCAGATTTGTTCGTAAACTTGTCGGCTCACTTCTCCCGTCTGACTCAGCATTTCTACTCCTATTTACAAGTGTAGGGTTAAGCCTTGTGGATTTCTCATCGGAGTCGAGAACAGGCAAAGCCTCGGACCATGTGTTCTGTCCTTCCACAGACATTTCTGCTTCAATCTCCGCTTCCATTGCAATTCCCGCCTCTATTTCTGCTTCTATATCTGCCCCTGTTTCAATTTTTGTCTCAATGTTGGCTCCCATCTCTGCTTCTATCAGATCCATGTCATCGTCAAACATATCAGCATCGTCTTCAGTCAGTAGCTGTGACTGAGGCTTAATCGATGAGACCCTTGAATCTGTAATAATAATAATAATAATAATAAGATGATGATCATGATGATTACGACACTATCAGTATCTTTTGAGTTTGAGTAAAGAGAAGCACATCCACAAAATAACAGTCAGGGGCAGGTAAGAAGCAAGGCCGATAGACAGAAACGACAGAGGGGAAGAGAAGAAGTAGGACCTACCAGTGGCGCCCTCCAGCCTCCCGCTTACTGGAGCAGTAGGTCGCGACGTGCTGTCTGACATCCCCATCATCATATCCTCCTCCATTTCGTCATCAAAAAGCTCAGCGTAGTTCAGATCATCTTCCCACTGAGAAGCACAAAAATTAAATGCAGATGCTATTATTATTGTTATTATCATATTTACCGTAATTATTGCTATTAAATACTTTTTTAAAAATTCACTATTATAATCATTATTATTTTATTATTATTATCACTATTATTATTAACACTAATATTATTACTATTATTATCATATTTATCATCATCATCATCATCATCATTATCATTTTTATCAATGTCATAATTACTATTATTATCATCATTATTATTTCTATTACTATTTTTATCATTACTATTATTATTATTATCATCATCACTATCATAATACCACAGACAACGGCCCGTTGGACTCAAGTGGGGACCAAACCCAGTAGTTCTTTCCAACTACAAGGCGAACGTGTTACCACTACATCCCGCTGGCCCCACATCCACAAGTGTTGATGTATTAATGTAGTTAGGTGTTTTTACATCCCCATCAACACAATTTTAGATAATTTAGTAGCCAGGCTTCCCACCCTGCCTGTCAGGACCAACCCAGGCTGAGAGGGATACATCTCTGCCCAACAGAAAGACCAAGAAACTCTGTAAAAATGTTCTCCCCACTCGGGAATCAAACTCGGGGCTCCTGTGTGTGACAGCAAAGCACCTTACAGCTACACCACAGCGCTCCCTCTCTTAGTTCTGAAAAACTTTACAGCAGCTTCAAATTTCATTAAGGGGTCTAGCTACCAAGAAAATCTATCTCCGTTATTTATGCATCTTTTAGAACCAAACTGTCCCAAAATATGTGGTACCCTCCCAGAACAATTTAACCAAAAGTGTTATGTAACACCGGCGCCCATATTGAAATTATACAATACTTAGGAAAATCTTAAGATTTTGAAAACCAAAAGACATAATGTTAATCTTTTAATAAATATCAAGTTAATAATAATAGTTATAGGTACCTGGCTGGGTTTTTTTGGAATACTTCCAATATTCTGGAAGTTTTGGGGGTTTCAAAGCAATGTCCCTTTTTTATACCAATTTTAAACAAAACATCAATTTCAAATGCAGATTTCTGAAATATTAAGTATATTTTCTCAAATATAACTAGCCAGGTACCTATAACTACCAAATGTGCACATACTTGGAAAGTTTTAGTACATTATCTTGATTGGTCAGCTCAGATTTTAAGATTTTAGTGATGAAAGGTCTTTCAAAAATAAAGTTTTGAGAAAAACGCATTTAAAAACGTCACTGTGTAATTTGAGAATTTGTTCCTTCTAGAGGTTCCAGTACCATATGCACTATTATTTCTAATCATATAAAATCTCATTTCTGTGCAGTTACAAATAACTTCATTTATAGAAGTTTAGTGAATCAAGAAGACACAAAATGTAACAAAAAAGAGAGGAAAAGTGACCAAGCAGTCGTTTTTGCAAGAGGGGGGGGTGAGGTCGCTTGAGACATATTTTCACCAATTTTATCAATTTTTTTCACCAATTTTATCAATTTTTTTCACCAAATGGACCAGAAAATCTGATTCAGCAATGATCAAAGGTTTTAAAAAGCTGCTTTCCAGAAAATCAATAATTTCCTCGAAAATTGACCAAAAACATTACCCGCTAGACCCTTTAAAGCAAAAGCTCAAAGCAATTTAGATCAGATGAAATGAAAATTCCACGATTTTTCTTTATCTTTATTTTTGCAACCTCCTGTACAAATAAAATTGAAGAACAACCAGGCCAAAGAAGAGACATTACTCTTCCTGTTATCTCGATCACATTCTCTTTTCGTCAAGCACCAGCTCTTTGTGTTAACAAAAACAATTAGAAAAACAATGACAAAAACAAACACAGGAGACATCATTCCAGACTTGCCAACTTTTTCAAAGCCCAGTCAGGGACATCCAAGGTTATAACATAAGATTGCTTAACAACAAAACAAAATTACAGTGGCAGGTGCCCTGGTGTTCTTGGCTCCTTCTTTCCTATCAAAACTTCTACCATCCTTATCTCGCCTTCTTCTTTCCTATCAAACAGCAGTTGCCCTTCTCTTTCTCTTTCTTCTTTCCTATCAAATATCCATCATCCTTATCTCTCCTTCTTTAGTTCTGCGTATGTTACTCTCTAGTAACTCCTTTGATCTTTGGCACTCACGCGACCTATTTGTGTTGCAAGTGATGTAAAACTCTTAACAAAAACTGAAGATAAAACTAAAACAAAAATACACCAAGTTGGACTGGTTTTTGGTGGAAGTGATAAGCCTCTTAAATTCCTGGTCATCGAATCCAGGACTGTCCCTGGAAATTCGGAACAGTTGGCAGGCCTATGACATTCTGTAAAACTGCAACAATGATTCAACAGAATTTTTTTGTAAAACTACGACAATGACTCAACAGAATTTTTCTTTAACTTAAAACGAATATAGCACGGTATCATGGTGACGGACCAGAACGATCGAAAAATTCAGTGATAGCAAGAAGCCAGTGACATGGATAGAAGTGGACGTTGTGGCTGAAACTTCAAACCACACAGGTATTCGTAAGGAAATAATCCAACCTGTTCAAAAGACTCTATGTTCTCTATATCACCAGTGTTGATAGAAAGTTCTTATATGTAAGTATAAAAGACAATTTGTTTGTCTGTTTTCGTACAAACACATAGACACAATAATGGACAGTTAGTGCCGGGAAGAAGCAAGACAGACAGACAGATAGAAACAACAGAGGAACAGAAAATAAGCAAAGCCCACCAGTGACGCCCTCCAACCACCCAGTTGTTGATCAAGAGTTCTTACAAGGGAGTACAAGGGGCCAGGCATGACAGGGCTTTTCAACCAGATGTATAAATAATATTGTACGTCAGCAAGACGTTTCTTTATCCACGGCAGCAAAAGCCAAGACAGACCTACTGCAAGTCCATCTCAAAACCATCAAAGGATGTTTTTTTTCTGTTATGTCATATTAGAGATCATCCGAGTCTGAGTTTGAGTTTGATTAAAGAGAAGCGCATCATTGACACAATAACACAGGTCATTTAGCGCAGAGACAAAGCAAGAAAGATAGCCACAAACAACAGAAAGATAGAAAAGAAGTAGGACCTACCAGTGGCGCCCTCCAACCACTTTTATAATTGTGAGTCCATCTCAACGTCATCAAAGATTGGTTTTCTGCTACATTATCTAAGCAACTGGGAGATCATCGTCTATGATGAGCTGATGAGCCAACAAAACAACATTAGTCAGATTTTGTAACAACTCTCACTAGAACCAAACCAAAACACCCAAACTTTGAAGTCATGAATGCGACAAAAGCGCACACCTCCACACCTTCTATGGACACCACGTATCAAGTGAACGTGATACTCAGTAGCTTTCTCTGCCTCGCTGGCACACTAGGGAACCTGGCGTCTGTGGCTGTGTTCAGCAGACGAACCTACACCAACTCCCCCAGCGCCCTCTGGCTCCGCTTCCTGTGCCTGGTGGACGAGGCCTGTCTGTTCACGGGACTCATCTCAGACTCCGCCTTCCTGTGGCGTCTGACCCCGTCACAAATCTTCTGCCTCACCTTCACCTACATCAGATGCGTTTTCCAGCAGCTCAGTAACTGGACGCTTGTCTTCATAACAGCCGAACGAGTGACTGCGGTTGTGAACCCGCACCGCGTGCATGCCATCTGGACCTGCAGACGATCGTACGCGGCCATCGGCATTCTCACAGTCAGCATCCTTCTCATCAACTGTTCTTACTTCTTCCTCACTGACAGCGGCCACAAGGCGGACAAAGCCGAGTTTCACATCAATTGGAGTCAGTGTTTTTTCGTCGCCGAAGTAGATGTGGTGCAAGTCATTATTTACTGGATGGACCTTATCGTTTACTTTTTGCTCCCTTTCATTTTCATTGTTATAGGAAATACAGTGATCATTTACAAGATTCGGAAAAATAGTAAACAAATGAAGAGATGCCTGGAGCATGAAGTGTACAGACAACCCAGTCAAAACATCGGTCATCCAAGGCATAATTCGAACTACTCGAGACAAAATTCGAACAAACCGAGCCAAAACTTGAATCAACGAAGCCATAATTCAGGCAAACCAAGCCATAACTCGAACAAACTGAACCAAAACTCGAAGCAACCAAATCAAAACTCGAACCAGCCGGACCAAAACTCCGGCCAACCAATCCATAACTTAACCCAACCATCAGAGAGAGTAGATATGACCATGGCACAAACCAGAGGACGACACCACCAAACCCCTTCAGAGGCAGCAGAAATGCGAAGTGACAACTTTCCTAGCTCTAGATCCCAACGAATCAAATGCCTAAGGAGAGCATGCACAGAATACAGAACATGCAATAAATACAGAACAAAGACCAGGCCACGCGGGAGTTTGTTGGAGATCCTTATCGCAAGAGAATCTCCTGTAGACAACCAAATTAAAGACAACACAACCGGGAATGGTCCTCTTAGTATTATTGGTCAATGTAAACTGTTCATCAGTTGCGATATACCACAAAGTGAGCCAGCGACCCCGACAGAAGCCGAGAGATCTCTGGACACCAACAGTCACACTGGCACTGGCTACATCACTCCCACACAACACAGACCAGTGCGCCGTAATCAGGACCGCTCGTGTGCTCGGACACAGACACCAAATGCCAACGCTCGTCGTAATGACTTTCGGGACACTACTACAAACAACTTCCTACACCGCGTCAGACGAGAACGGGCCATGACCTTGACCTTGCTCTTGATCAGCCTCGTGTTCCTGGCCACGCGGCTCCCATACGAAGCCCACCGTTTCTCTCTCCCCGGCTTCCCCTACCAGGAGAGGATTCCCTCCCTTGACTGTTTCGGCGTCAAACTCTACCTGGTCAACGTCACGCTAGTGAACAACGCTGCCAATTTCCTCTTGTTCTGTGTTAGTGGGTCAAAGTTCAGACGAGAGCTTCGGGACACGATGCAGCAACTGCTGAACTCTACATGCAGACGATTACTTTAAAAGAAATAAAGGGCCTATTACATGTTTAATTGAAACTGACAGTTGGCTGGCCTCTTTGGGATAAAAAAATACTACAATCATAGTAAAAATACCTTTCTGAGATCTTCAAAATCCAACAAGAAAAAGAGTTTGTTTTTGTCAATGGTGAAATGTCATCCACTTTCAGCCTGATCTTTAACATGCCCCAAGGGTCCGCGGTCACACCACTTTGTGCACACTGTACACAGAACCTCTTGATTTTAATTACATGTACAACAAATACAACAATTGAATTTATTTATATATATATATATATATATATATATATATCTTATCAACAAATTATAATTGTCTAATAATGAACATGGAAAAATGTATAGTTGCTGTAAAAAAACTGGATGATGTGCATGCAATGTAGACAATAAAATGTGTATTGGGAATAAGAACATGTTTTAAACAGATAAAGTGGCTGGGCATGAAAGGCTTAAAAACGACACCTTATAACTAACCTCTATAGCCGCTGACGATCCCCCTGCATGAGTTTCGTTGCTTTCTTGCTTGACTGGCCAGACAGATCCTGCAAAATTCTGAGCACAACCACGGTTTCCAAATCCAGTCGACAGACTTCTGACTTGAGATTTGACCTCAGTTTTTACCAGGGACATTCCTGAATCTTTTGTGACATTTTTCTCGCACTTGACAGCGCTATTCGTGGCAAAATTAGAGTGAACCGTACTGTTCTGAGGGAAACCTTTTGAAGTAGTCGCCTCACTTTTTTCCCATTTTGGAAATGAAGTTCTTTCAAATTGCTTTTTTTTATCACAGCCTCTGACTAAAAACTTCCCAGAGAACTCTCTTTTTGCATGTTTACCTTCATCCTCTCTATTTTTCAACCTGAAAAACAAAAACAAAAGAAAAATAACAATAATAATAATAAAAACAGATAGCACTTATATGCACTCTGTCTCATACCTTCATACATATAATATAAGCTCTCAGAGCTTTACATCAATGACATAATCACTGAGAGTAAACCGCACACACACACACACACACACACACACACACACACACACACACACACACACACACACACACAAGAAAAAAAGTTTCATATGCACATGAAAACTGGTTCAACCACAAAAGGAAGAACTTTCTCAGCCAAAAAAATCATACACACAGACAGACAGCAGTAAGAACAAGACACATCAGCACATGCTAACATACTTTAACTAGGGCTTAAACAAATGAGTCTTAACTTTTTAACCCCGGAATTATTTTCCACATTTTGACGGAATTTTATCCAAATCTCATGTAACATGTAACAGGGGATATTCGCAAAATATTCATAAAATGGCTAAAACAATGTCAGAGCGAAAGAGGAAGTAGTTTATACATTTATATAACACTTCAGAGTCAAAATAACTCTATTTGGATTTTTAACAGATTACATTCGCAGTTTTGCTTTATGCATTCTGCGGTCTGATTGGACGCTGGAACCGTCCACTCAGGGACTGGGTGAGTTTCACTGGAGGCTCCAAATTACAGAGTTAAGCAATCGCTGAAATGTACACTGCCACTGACAGGCAAAAAACACCCATGGTTCTCTCTATATTCATGACTGGAGTGTTTTGCTCCACCAGCCCGTCCATCTCATGCATATTTATGAAATTGAACAAACTAGCATTTTTCAGCCCGTTTGGCAATTTTTACCAATTTTTTGGTTTTTGGCTGAACACCTTCTACGTGCATTTAACACAGTGCCCCCTCATCTCGCCGATTGGCTGAACACCTTCTACGTGCATTTAACACAGTGCCCCCTCATCTCGCCGATTGGCTGAACACCTTCTACGTGCATTTAACACAGTGCCCCCTCATCTCGCCGATTGGCTGAACACCTTCTACGTGCATTTAACACAGTGCCCCCTCATCTCGCCGATTGGCTGAACACCTTCTACATGCATTTAACACAGTGCCCCCTCATCTCGCCGATTGGCTGAACACCTTCTACGTGCATTTAACACAGTGCCCCCTCATCTCGCCGATTGGCTGAACACCTTCTACGTGCATTTAACACAGTGCCCCCTCATCTCGCCGATTGGCTGAACACCTTCTACGTGCATTTAACACAGTGCCCCCTCATCTCGCCGATTGGCTGAACACCTTCTACGTGCATTTAACACAGTGCCCCCTCATCTCGCCGATTGGCTGAACACCTTCTACGTGCATTTAACACAGTGCCCCCTCATCTCGCCGATTGGCTGAACACCTTCTACGTGCATTTAACACAGTGCCCCCTCATCTCGCCGATTGGCTGAACACCTTCTACGTGCATTTAACACAGTGCCCCCTCATCTCGCCGATTGGCTGAACACCTTCTACGTGCATTTAACACAGTGCCCCCTCATCTCGCCGATTGGCTGAACACCTTCTACGTGCATTTAACACAGTGCCCCCTCATCTCGCCGATTGGCAATGTTTTCCACCCAGTTTCTTCGGATTTTCCCCAAAATATGATGGCAAAGTGTTAAGAACACAGTTCTGTGTTGATTTTATTGAAAATCGTTGATTAAAGTCACAAAAAATGTAAATTTTCCATTCCCACAGACTCACAAGCTATGGAACTAATTTTACCTCTGAAATCACGCCACCCCCACCTCCGTCAATTGCAAATATCTTGACTTGTATTCAAGATATTTTTTTTATCGAAAGCAAGACAAGTCAAATGAACAAGCTTTAACATGATATCAATAACTCCACAGGCCCAAAAGTTGACAAGTGCCTGATTCCACAGCGTCTTGACAGATATGTGTGTCAATGCGGTAAATCAGGCACTTGTCAAATAAATGAAATCGAAGAAACCAACATTTTTACGCACGTTTGGAAATTTTCATCAATTTTTTTTTTTTGGGTGTGTCTCAACACCTTTTATATCCATTTAAAAACAAATTTCTTCGTGGATTTTGCTGAAAAACATTGATCAAAGGCACAAAAAATAGTAAATTTAAAGTTTTCAAGGACATTCAAGCTTTGAAATTCATCAATCTCTGTACACTATTTTCTCAATAATTAGTATTTTTTTCATCAAAAGCAAGAAAAACACGCTTTAAAATGATATCAATAGCTCCACCTGTCCAAAAGTTGACTGACGAGAATCTGATTCCACTATGTCGTGACACATATTCTGCCATCGTAAGGGAAAACGACGAATGGTCAAAATTTTTCTATTTTTTTATCTTTATATATTTCATTGAATATCTAATTCTGCATCTGATGGTGTAAAAAATGTTGTCATATCCTAATCCGTTGTTGCGTAATTGAGAGTTCGTCGTTTTCCCGTACACTGGCGAGCTCCGAGCCTGAGCTCAGTGTCCGGGAGAACGATGAAAGGTCGATCAGTCAAGGATCACTGCTCGTTCAGCGTTGTCCCCTGGTCTCTGCCGTCGGACAAATTCGGCATGGGTGACGAATGACAATTGGTCACTGTTGCGTCCGCACAAACATACTAGGTTTTTTGCAAACACACCACCACCCCCTCCCCCAGAGTACCGTCGACCAGGTTTATAAGAATGTATCACTTAGTGTGTCTTTCTGTCTGTCTTCACGTGTTAGGCCTATGCTGATGTGTGAATTGACAAGAGCAGGCGGGAGAGAGGGGAAAACAGATGAGAACAGGGGGAAAGGGGTGGGGATGGGAGGGTCAAAAAAGTATTTAGGGAGAAATTTATTAGCACTGCATATTAGTGTCCGCCAGATGTTCACAGACTAACATCATGTTTAGTTTGTTGTCCAGTCATTTGACATCCCAAATCCCAACGATAGATATAGTGCCTCAATTTGTCTAGCACGTGTCACTGGTCGACATCATTATAGAATTACCAAGCAATTAATGACACTGCGTTATGAGAGTAAATTTCTTTGTCCAACTTAAAAAGAGGACGTATTGTGGCGACACTTAGTCTTGCTTTACTATTTTTTATGACTTGATGGACGTTTCGATCGAGTATAATAATTATAAAGTCTTGTAGAATAAAAATGTCCTCGTCGATCTCTACTTTGTGGTATGTTTTCCGATCCGATCAACTGAATCCTTTATTAAATACAAAGCTTCGCATTACCTCTCCCGAAAGCGTTTGTGATACAGTCTTGTCAGATTGTTACATTTCTTACGTGAAAGTTAGACTTTGCAATGACCTGATCGTATTGCTGACATTGTAACATTGATGATCCCTTTGGTCGTGCAGGGAAAATTATTGCAATTAGCAAAAATAAAAGTAAAACTTGCTTCTGAAGAGAATACAATAGAGACATATCATGGAGACCAAACTTTGGTTCCGAATGAGACAGTCTTAAATCAAGCTGTTGAAAATGTGTGCACATCTGATTTGTACACTGACTGTGTAGTATTTAACCAAGCGAGGAAGGAAAATGAAGGACGTTTACCGAGTTACAGTTGCGATATAACAAACACCTAACTTAATACGTATAATAACTAGTTTGTATACGTCTTATTTTTATTTGTAGTAACCACTACACAGTCATTACTGTCAATAATGCATCACAACTGACCTTCGCCTACGCCCATAAATGTTCTCGAGTGTAAAGGAGAACGATGAACCGTACCATTCGTCGTTTTTGCTTACATCGCAAGGATCACCTGCAGGCGCGCAATGTAAGGGAGAACGACGAATGTCGAATAACTTTGCTACTTTTTAACCTAAACCATTCAAACGTTAGAAACTGCTTTATGAACATCCAAATCAGATATCTGGTGAATTACAGCTTAAAAGAGTGAAAAATAGAAGAGTTATAAAGTGAAAACAGTTTTTGCCTCTCCTGAAAAATTTGCCTCGCTACCTCTACACAGGACCATTCGTCGTTTTCCCTTACGACGGCAGTATCGGTAAGCCCAGAGAGCCTCTTATGAGCAGAACTGGAAGCAATCTATGTATATTATATGTAATGTAGATATATTTAGGTACCAGAAACTAAATTTTCAAAGTAGCTGTATGCCAAATTTATCTGTTCCATTTATCCAGTGAGCATTTTGGTACCATTCTTTAACCTCTCAGTCAATTTTTAAGAAAATGGTAGTTGTTTAAAATTTGATCAAATTTGTTAAAGACAGTCACTGGCTGCAACCCCACGTTTGACAGACAATGAAAGAGTACCAAGTGCACTAAACATCTCCACATTAAAAGAGTACAATCACTATAACAAATATATGGAGCCTAATTTTTTTCAAGACTGTGAGATCATTACAAATCAGTATTTTATCGCCAAAAACATGATGATCTGTCATTATTTCGCCAAAAACACCGAGCGTTGACCCGGCCGGCGTCGCACCGGCCCCCGTGGCGAGCAAGTCGGCTCTATACTGTAGTGTACCCCGCGTGCGGGGTCACATGCTTTCCGAGTCTCGCGAAAGGATTGATGCAAAATAATTCCAAGCTTATTACTTTATTCTAATAGAAAATGAACTGATCTTTTAATTGATATCTTTTTTAAGTCGGTATTTTACTTATTTCATGTAAAAAATTATCTTTAAAAATTTTGACGGAATTTTTAAGGCTTTCTATTTAAACGCCAAAGGCCAAAAATATATCACGGGAAAGCCCGTTCAAAGCTCTACAGTTCTCTACCAATGAAAAGATGGTATTTAATCATCCCACGTTCTGCGAAGCATTTGAATAAACGCGTGTCAATTTTTGAACCGGCCGACAACGCATTCCGACCGCGAGGGGCTTCGCTTTCCTCTGCGATTCTCTAGCTCCAAATAATCGGACATATAAACAACTTACACCATTGTAATGAGGAAAAGCTGAACTTTTACAACGTGTACGGCTTTTGGTGTTTTATAGTGAAAGAGCAAAGAAACAGCGATCGGAATTATTCCGATTTCACCAATACCACGCGGTCGGAAGGCCGCGAGTGCCCGCGAGGCCGTGTTTACGCTACCTAATATATTGCTTAATCATTTGCTTACACTATATGATCCCAGGAAGCTGAGAATGTTTCTGAGTGTTCTAGAGGAGGCTGAGGTAATTATATATAGATTGTTAAGCATATAGAGCTTGCTGTTGAGCAGAGATATATGCATATACAAACATTGTATATCATTATCATTATTTTCAATTTATTATCTGTACACCGTCACTCAAGAGGGCACTCTGATAGCTCAGTAGGTATCAGGCTGGACTACAGAGCGGATGGCCCCGGTTCAAATCCAAGACTGAATGTTCTTGAACTCTGGTCATTTTAAGGAGTTTTCTTCACAGCTCTCAACTCATTTGGTACAGTCCTATCAAAGACCGACGTAAAACTCAGAGGTCTGCCCGTTACATAACCTAATAGTGTTGAAACGGGCATTAAACCCATACACTTTTTAAACCCCTTATCTCCAGCAAGCCACTCTCAGCAGCTTGCGGTTGGAACTGGTATGCTGGTGAGCTGCTGTGCAAGCTTTACGACAACTTCAACGTCAAATTACTTTACGGCAATTGCCGAAAACAAGTCTCTTTTATAAGGAGTTCATTCATTAGATAAAGAACTATTGAAATAGGTCTGCTGGTTTCGATATAATGACCAGTTTAGTGACGTATATGTCAATTTTAGATTTTGTACAAAAAGAGGGTTCCAACAGAGAGGGTTTACCCCCTCCGAGATAAAGAGATAATGAGAGGGGGAGAAAAACTCACATGGCTCTCTCTATATTCTTTAGCGGAGTGTTCTCCTCCACCAGCCCGTCCACCTCACCGCCCAGGACCTGCACGTGGTCTGGTGTCAACAGCAACATCCCACGACGACACACCACTGTGCCACTAATGAGAAGCTGGGGGCATTCAGAAAACAAAATAAAACACTCACAAACAGAACAAAACAATAATCATTACAACTGTTAAGATCGGTTAAACAAAACTTTGTCAGTTTTGAAGATGAAACACTTGATTTGTTCACACAACCCCCCCCCCCCCCCCCCCCCCCACCCCAACTTCTTATTGAAGATGAACATTATTAAATTCAGAGAGAGATCCAGACCATTTAATATTCCTATCAGTGTTCAGTGTTGATACAGACCAGAAACCCCTACATAACATAAACAATTACCTTCTGATTATTTGTTCCACATCGCAGCGCCTAGCTCTAAAACCCCTGGAGTGTGCACAACAATTTATGTCAAAACTTCCAAAATGCAAAATAAAGCCTAAAGCTTCAGAACTTGGTACACAGGCAACATTTTCTGAGTTTGTTCCAGTAAATCATGACAATATCACTTCAATTCAAGCATGACTTGTAATGCCTTTCCCTTTTGCAAACAAATATTTATCACAAAGAAGAGAAAACAAAGAGTAACTTTCATTAATAGTGTAGCAGTCACCTTGGTGCCACTTGCGAGTTGAGAGTGAAGGCAAGAGACGTGTTCGACCTCCATAGCTCTCACGTGAGTGTGGCCATCTGACAGCTCCAGCACTAACATCCGGGAAGGCTTGTGTTCCCACTGAAATTTTTTTTTAATGGGTTTTTTTTAAACAAGAGAATAAAATTACTAGCGTCTGTGTTGCAGCGGTTAGATACTTTGCTGTCACACGCAGGATACCCGAGTCCAATTCCCGAGTGGGGAGAATTTTTATCGAGTATTTTGGTCTTCCTGCCGGGATGTTCTATCCCTCTCGGCCTGGGTTTGCCCTGACAGACAGGGTCAAAAGCCCACCTACTAAGTGATCTAAATTGCGTCTAAATACTTTAACAACTCAATTGATATGTAAGCCCTGACTTCTAAATCATGATGTGTCCTTAAAAAGATGCATCATTAATTTAAGAATACCAAAAACCACTTACAAAAATAATGCTGCTGTTGTAAGAGTAAGACCAAATTAACAACAATATTAAAGAAGAAACTGTCACAAAATAAACTTTACTTTACAGTACCTCCTGACATAACATACAGTCCAGCACGCATATAGCAAACATGCTCATATAAAGAAACATGCACATATACTGAATAGAATTCAGGTCCAAAGTATTTCTTATCATGTACATTCTTTGCATTTTTAAAACATGTACATTACGAAATTCGCACGTGTATACAAATAGATTTCGTTGTATGTGTGCTAGACTGTATTTTGCATAAATCAGAATAAATAAAATGACAGTAATGAGCGAATACAACTTACAGCTGGCTGGAATGGTTTATCTGCAGTCACTTGCACATTTGGATTCTCTGAGCCTTCAAGTTTCTGCTTTTGTCCATACAAAGGAAATCCAGCATCGACACAAGAGGTCATCTTCACCAAAGAAAACCACAGTGGAAAAAGTAGAAATACATATTATATCTCTGAACACTGGATTCAATCAAATGCTCCAGAAAGTCAGAACTCTACTAGACCTCAAAAACACCACTGATTAACTATTTTCTCTTTTACCTAATTGTTTTACAAAACTTGGAAAAAAATATTTCATCTAAATCTAAATCTTAAAATAATGACCAAGCAGACAGCTTGGGCGCTCCATTTAGAGGTTCAGAGCTGGAATCAAGCTGGACTACAGAATGGATGGCCCTGTTTCAAATCCCAGACTTCTTGGACTCAGGTCGTTTTGTGGGGTATTCTAAGACTCAACCCATTTGGCTTTGTAAACTCGCACAAAAAAGTCAAGGAACAAAAATTCAAAGAAAGATAACTGAAGTGCAGTTTAACCAAATTTATTCTTTTTTTTTTTAAATGATGCTTTCGACTCTTTAGATTAAGTGTGTACAATTTCAGATTTCAACAAAAACGAGAAGTTCATGTAAAATGAGTTTAAGTCACACTGGTCAGATTTCAAAAGTCTGAACAGCCATAGTTCTTCATGAACATTGTCAATAGTGGGTATAGCCACTCCGTTTGATCAAACACTCAGCACAGCGTCGACGCATGGACAGGACATGCCTTCGGAGAACTTCTTTCGGTAGGTTCTACCACTCCTGGACAAGGGAGCCCAAGAGTTGTTGAAGGTTTTGTGCAGGAAGTCAGTGTGATCCCAAATGTTCTCTATTGGGTTCAAATCCGGACTACAAGCTCGTCAGTCCATGCGGATGATTGCTCGCTGCTGCAGGAAGTCCCCCACGATGCGTGCGCGATGTGGCTTGGCGTTGTCGTTCTGTAATACAGCCTGGGGTCTACTCTGCTGCAGGAGAGGAACAGCAAGGGGACGCAGGATTTCCTCCCTGTACCTTGCGGCGGTCAAATTGCCCTATATATGGTACAGCGGGTCTTGTGCTGAGCTGAGAAGCCTCCCCACACTAGAACGGACCCTCCACCATAGGGCGCCACCTGCTGGATGCACTTAGGGTAGAACAGCTCTCCTCGGCGCCTCCAGACATGGGCTCGCCTGTCTGGGTGCAGCAGGTTGAATCTGGATTCGTCCGAGAAGACTATCTGGTCCCACTGACATTGTGTCCACTGTAAAAGGCGAGCAGACCACGCCCAGCCAGCTGCTTTGAGGGGCGGCGTGTGCCTTGGCCGCCTGGCAGGGACAAGAGAAGTGAACTTGGCTCTACGGATACAGTTCCTTACCGTCTCCTTGCTCTCGTGGACATTGACTGTCACCCGAAGTAGTGGTTCGTGACGTCACGGTCTGTCTGACAATGAACCAGTCGATGCTGTCTTTGGTCAAACAGGGTGGCCCTGGTCGAAGCCTGTCCTGGACCCTTCCAGTCGCTCGCCATCGTTCTTGCAGCCTCTATATGACTGATGGGGACCCCCCCAAGTCAATGTGCAACGACTGGGAATGTGGAGCCATCTTGGAGCCAGGCAAGGGCTCGTCTTCTGTCGACGTCAGGCAGCGAGCGTCATGGGACCATCGTGTCGTAATGAAACATGGCTGAAAAACGCTCGCTTATAAAGGGTTGTAAGTGAGCAATATTCACAGCTAAGACATCTGTTTAGCACGTGCCGAGCTTAGTTTTAGCTAAAAGTCCCTATGCCAAAGTTGCTGAAGTAGAGAAATATAGCCCATATTTCATGCTTTTCCGCTGTATTTCAGAATGCCCTGCGCCATCACTGTGAAGCTGGTGCGGGCAAATTTGCAGTACAGGCAAACTGTGCCTAGTCGTCAGTGTGTGTGCCAAGTTTGGTTGACTGATCTTAACAGGTTTGTGAGATATTGAAGTTGAAATTTGACAGATGAAAACACTAAGTTGTTCCTTGACTTTTTTGGACGAGTTTACTATCTGAGACGGACAACAGGGGCATTGAATCCACCATACACTTACAGAGTATTATATTCATCATTTGTTTTCCATCACAGGGAATATGAATTAATACTATACAAATGCTATTTTCATAATAATTATTATTCAAAGCTGCCTAACAGCTATGAAGTTAGAATCAGATTACAAATTGGTCAAAACATAGGAACAAGACCTGAAAAAAAGCTTTGCATTCTTCCCTCACGATCTCTCACTTACCTGCAAAGGATAGTTACTTATCAGTTCTATCTTATCGATTGTAGCCACATCAGGGGGTAGAATCGGCTCGCCAATCTCAGCCAAATCTGAATGGAGCCACTGGTCATAAACCTGAGACTGCAGTTGTTCAACAGATTGTTCTTGGCCCTGACACATGAAAGAAATAAAAAAGTAAGAATTCGCTTTTAACAAGTCATGCTATTTCTAGAAATAGTCTAAACATTTCACAGCAGTGCTGACAGGGTCCTCTCTCTCTCTCTCCCTCCCTCCCTCCCTCCCTCCCTCTCTCTCTTTCAGTAAAAAAAAGTTTCAAATTTTAGCTCTTTGATCACAGGATTTTGAGCACAATTTCGGGGAAATTTGGGGGGGGGGGTGTTTTGGGGGGAGGGGTGATTTTTACTCTCGCATTATAGCTTGTAAAACTGCCACCAATGAATACATCACACATTAAATCAAAGTTAATTGCGTGCAGAAGCTGAAATATAGGAATCGTGAATGTATACGGTTCTCAAGGCTGTGGCAAAGAAATTTAAGTGAAGAGAAAATATCCAATGAACTTTGGCAGTGTTCTGCCACACATGAAAGTGAGGGATTTCTTAAGTTCTCACACTGTGAGTCGTGAGCGTTGTTCCATACAATACAAGAGTGAAAATTTAAATTGTGCTTCATGCTGGACACTATTTTCCAAACATCACTTTTTTTAGCTTTTATGTACAGACAGATATATATATCATTGACACTGCCACGTCGATTCAGTACGGGAGGAGTTCTGCAGAGGGCCGGCACTTACTTTGAGAAGGATCACAGAGCAAACCATACAACTACAAGAGCTAGGATGGTTTAGGGTTAGGATTAGTGGTTAGGAAGTGGTTATTCTCACCCGGGCCTATGTCTCACTATTTTCACCCCCTCAATTTACCGAAATTCACCCTAGAGGGATCAGGGGGTCGAGTTCGTGTCCGAATAGTCACAGTCAGGGCTGTCAGTGTCAGTTTTGAGCCAAATCCCAGAAATTTGGCTCTCTTGGATCGCGCCTGACCCGCAGAATTTCATTCGGCTTTGTGGTTCCAAACTCCAAATGTTAAAGAAAAAGGGGAAAGAAGTAAGAAAGAAAGAAAGAAAAAGAAAGAATAAAAGAAAGAAAAATTTTAAGTGAAGAAAAGAACTTGTCCTGGATTGCTAAATTATTTAACTAGTTAAAACTAGCTCACGATTTAACGCCCTCGCCCATTTGGTCTGAATAAATTTACAACCCTTCTACCTTCGTGCAAGACATTTGTCTCGTGCTCGTGTCTTGTTAAGTTATTACACGCTCCGTTCCTTGAACCATAATTTATTAGATGCAAGCAGAGAAGCCTGCCCTCGTTAAGGGTGTAAAAAACAAATGGTCAGGCCGGCGGCCGGTCCCACATCCCGTGCAGTAGCGTGGGTAATGAGACATAATTATTTTTTACTGGAGAGGCGAAAAATGTTTTTACATTATTATTATTCTATTTGTTGTTCATTAAAGATTTAATTTAGCTAAGATCTGATTATGATGATCATATCTGTTTCAAAAGTCTGCATCGTAATTTTCCATATCCCATCCCGACTTTAATTCTGAACTGTAAGAGCGTTCCTTCATGTCATGGGATGGAACGCTTGAAGCAGGCCGAACTATTATATATCATATATTTTTTAAAATAGAGATCTACATCACTGTCGATGTCCGGGTGGGGGGGGTGGGGGGTGAGGGATGAGAATATAGGTGGCCTAGGAGTTAGGGTTAGGGTTTAGGGTTAGGGTATATCCCGCTCAAAATATCCCCTCTTTTGTGTGTTGTTGGTCAGCCGGCCCTCTGCGAAACTCCTTCCTTCAGTACAGTGTAGTACCTGAAACTGAAAGTTGAAAGACAGAGTAAGAGTTTCATTTCTCATCAGTCCCCAAGTATTAAGTCTCCCTAACCTACACTCTGGCCTAGACCTACCAGAATACAGGTTAGGCCTACATTACAGTGGAAACCCGATATAACAGGACCAGAGAAAAAGTCCTGTCCCATTCCTGTTAAATCAGAAATGCAAGGGAAGTAAGCATCCGTGGACTTTTCCAGCTGTACTTATTCATGGGTAGTTTCCCTTGCCACAAGTACCCACGAACAGGGGTTTTGGCCATGTGGCAAGCCTGCCCTATAACCGATTGGGCTCCGATGAGGCCTTGTTATTGCCGATAACTTTCAATAGAGACAAAGAGTAGGAAAAAACGGGGATTTTAAAAATCCCTGCTATTACTGGATCCCTGTTATTATCGGAAATGAGAAAAAGAGTACTGAAAAGTTACATCGAGCCAATACTTTATACGGGTGCGAAGCATGGACAATCAATAAACAGCTGGAAAGAACAATTGTGGCGACAGAGTTGTGGTTCATAAGACGCATGCTACGTATCTCATGGACAACTACAAAAACAAATGAAGAAGTCTTGGTAGAAGCAAATTGTAAAAGACAGCTTGTGACGAATATAAGAAAGCGACAGGCAAATTTCTTCGGACACACAATGCGGAAAGAAGCATTGGAGAATTGTAACAACAGGCAAGTTTGATGGAAAGAGAGACAGAGGCAGACAAAGGGAAAAGATACTGGACAAGATGACAACATGGTTAGGAGCAGCAAGAACAACAGACACCATTGCTGCAACGCAAGACAGAGTGAAGTGGAGGTCCATGATCGCCCACCCCACGCCAGTCGGCAAGGCACCGGATGATGATGTTATTATCGGGCCTGTTATAGATTCTATAACTATATGGTTTCCACTGTGTGTACTTTATGGTCCCCAATTCATTGGGCTTGAGCCTACTTACTTCACTTTCTTGGTGAATCCATTCAAGACATGCTCTAAGCCAGGTTTCTGATACTTGAATATTGAACTCATTGCTCAACCAAGCTCGTACAACTTCAAATTCGTGCATCCTCGAAAAGTGCATCTAGAATCTAGATCTAGTAGTTAGGCTTGGTCTAGATTCTAGATCTAGATTAGATTCTAGATCTAGAATCTAGATCTAGTCTCAATCTAGACTCTAGGTCCTAGATCTAATCTAGAATCTAGAGATCTAGATATCTAGATCTAGATCTACTTTCACTTTCTCCTGTTGGACTGTGTTGGTTGTCTCGAGCCGAAAATCTCTTGGCCTTGCCTTGTATCTAGATCTAGATTTCTAGATCTAATCTAGATCTAGATCTAGATCTAGATCTAGATCTTTTCAACTTCAATGTCTCCGATTTTCTCAAATCGACACGTTTAGAAATTTTGAGGAGGAAAAACCTTCCTCTAGACTATGAAAGGCTTGGTCTTTGCAGTCTCTTGGCCTAGTCTCCTCTTCTCCATCAATAAAAAACCAAAACAAATTTTGTGGAAGTGGATGCAAGTATCATTGTTGAAATCTAGCGGTAAATGCCAGGAGTTTATCACCGAGGGTTTTTTTTTCCAGCAAATGTGAAGCGGCTCAATGTTTTAAAAGCATCAAAAAATTATTTTGATTCTATCACAATAGCTATATATAATCATACTCTTCAACACCTTTTCTGAGGTAAAATTATGTCATGTCTACGTTTCTTTATTCTGCTTTCATTTATCAATGAAATAAAACGAAAAGGCAAACTGACACTTGCCTAGTGGTCCTTTCCGGTGTCTATTATTTTTTCCTTTTCCCTACCTTTACGGTGTCGTATACCATAGAGTAGCCTGAGATGAATATGAACCCTGTTGTGTCAGCCTTCGTGTGTCATAGAGCCAAGGCATAATGGGAAGTTGTGGGCTATAAATAGGCTAAAGAAACCTTTTTTTTTTAAAAAGAAATGTTTTATTCTTCTAGAATACTTTTACAATTAAAAAGAGGAGACTATTTCTCTGCAAAAGTACTGATACCGTATTCATGAAATACATTGCATGTGCGTGTATCATACTTTTTGGAGATAGACCAATTCACACGAGGATATTAAAATTTTCTTTTTCCACATAAAAAATTAGAACCCCATCTGCTTGGTTTGTCAACTGAACACTTCAAGTACCTTGAATCGTGCATTGCATCTTACACGAATCGGTGGACTATTAGAATGTTGTTTTCTCCAATGCATGTCGGCATCCATCAATTCGTATCACATGTACAATGACATGTAATATCAGCTGGTGGCAGTCTTAGAGGTATCTTATATCTCATCGTCGCCATAAGAAGAAAACGAAACATTGATCAGGCATGTTTTTAGCTGGCCCATATTGCAACTCAAAACTGTGGACAACATTTTATTGGTGTTATCTTTGTTTGCTTATGTTGTTATTTTGTTTTCGTTTGCAGTTATTGTTTTGTTTTGTTGTAGTTGGGTTTGTTTTTCATTGGTTTTAGGGAAGGGGGGGGGGGTTGCTGTTGTTGGGTTTGTTTTGTTTTTGTTCTTTTCTGTTGTTGTTTTTTTTTTTGTTGGGGGGGGGGTCGGGGGAAGGATCCAAAATATCATTAGATTAATAAAATAACCTCATTCTTGTCGGTGTAGATCTATGCTTAAACTTTTTGTTGTGGGCCCTATAGACGGTTTTGTAGTCAGACTCCTGCTGTCGTCTCCATTATATGATATCACGACAGAAACAACCATGAAAACTACTTCTTTTAAAAATAAATTAATAAATAATTGTTTTACCACACTTGCAACACATTTAGTTAAATAATCATATCATTAATATAAGTGCCGAAGATAAGAGGCGTGACAAGTGTAACAAATACAAAAAGAGTAGAGATAATCCCAGCCAGCATGATTATGGCGGCCCAAAATCAATTTGATGTCGGACAAACTTAATGTCCGCTCCCGGCCCGCTGCTGCCGCTGCAGGCGGCTGGGGCTCATTTGCACCTTCTGTTTCATATCGGCCCGACGTCGGCCCCGCCGTCAGGAGTGATGTCGGCCCCAGGGCGGTCCGCCGACCTATCCATATATGCCGACGGCGATCCGATGTCGGGCGATCGGACGCCGTCAGGAGGGATGTCGGCCCCAGGGCGGCGGACCGACCTATTCATACATGCCAATGGCGATCCGATGTCGAACTGATGTCGGATTTTTATCACCATACCCCCACCCCCACCCCACCCCCATTCCCTGGTCCATGCCTCCATCCCTATTTGACCTCCACGCAAGGGTTAATTTTAGTCGGCGTCCCATAGAGCCATTGTCCATTCATGTCCTGAACTTCAGCTCTGAACTCAAGCTGTGATTCGATCCTCAAAATTAATAAGAAATTGACATAGCAACTATGATAATAATAGAGTTAAATGAAATAGAAGCAAAAGTTATGTGAAGAGAATCATATTACATAGTTGGGGAAAAGAAATCTCAGAAAAGGAGAAAGACAGAGACAAGTGTCAAAAACTATACAGAACTGCATTGTAAATTACTATACGTTTATTGATACAAAGCAGGTAAATCTATACATATTGGTATACATATTTGCATGGGCATAGCAATGAGACACATACTAATTCCAATAATTACATTTGTTGCTGAAAGAAAAAATTCCAGGATTATGTCCCTTTATACACAAAATTATCGGGATTACGTCCTTTTATACACACAATTATCGGGATTACGTCCTTTTATACACACAATTATCGGGATTACGTCCTTTTATACACACAATTATCGGGATTACGTCCCTTTAGTCAGAGCGTCATACATCTCTCAACGGTACCTTGAATTAGATATGAACATGAACAATGTATGTTCACATACATCGTTGACAATTTTAGGTTTCTCTTTCTTAAACAGGGCTCAAAGATTACATAGAGTCGAGCTATGATCATGAAAGTAGACTCCGCTGGTGTTGAACTGTTTCTGGGGTCCTAGCACCTCTTCTTTTTTACGGTTCTCACGGGTTAAGTTGAACTTTGGATGAGTTGATCTATAAATTTATTTTTCACTCCCCTGACATCCACTCTCCCGTAGTTGACTGACAGTTGTTGTTTTGTTTCGTTTTTTTTTGTTTTTTTGTTTGTTTGTTGTTGTTGTTGTTGTTGTTTGTTTGTTGTTGTTTTTGTTTTTTTTTTGGGGGGGGGGGGGTTGTAAACGGATTAGTAGATCTAGATCTACATAGGCAGTGCATACAACAAATTCATGCTGACAAAATCCTGCATTTTTTACTTCATTTAAAAAATTGTTTTAAAAAATGATAAAGATTTATAAAACGGATCTAGCACTCCTCATAGTGTTGCTCTTTGAGCTCAACAGTTTGTACAACCAAACCGAAACATCAGAGTCGGCTCGAGGAGCTAAAAAGTGGGCATGCACAATTAAGCAATAGCAGGCTGAAGATAGTCAAGGGAATAGTAAATGGGATGATAGGATCTTGGTGTATTAATATTAATGTACCTCCAAACTCGCTACGAGTGTCGTCATCGCTTGGGTTATCCCAAAGAGCGATTTATAGGTTAGTTGAATATCCTATTATGATAAGTTAAAGCGCACGGACTTTGGCACGGCATATTAGACTTATTATAGCGCTTTTGACACGAAATGAGAAACGACAGTTACGACGCCAACGAGGACCTTGTTTTGATATTATATTTGGCTAGTATTTGTTTCTGGCTTCTTTTATTTCATGTTTGTGGGTGCTTTACGTAATAGAACATTGTCAAAAAAATTGGACTGCACTACACAACCGTGCTCTATGTGGACGAACCACCCCTGATAAACATATAGAGAATCTACCTAATGTTTGCAATGGTACTGCGCCGTGAACCATAGATTCATCAGTCATCAGCATCACACATTCCTTACTCTCGTATAATCTCTTTGCGCACATTCCCTGTTTTTCTGTCATTCTTTCTCTATGTATGCTATTATATTGCAACCTCACATACCAGAAGTCTAAAATAGAGGGACCCATTTATTAAAGGACAAAAAGTCTGTTATCCCAATATCAGTTTCAATTTAAAAAACTTGGCACAATTTTAAAAAAATCGAAATTTAAAGGGAAATAGCTCTTGTCATATGTGCACCAATTTCAATATAAAACGTCGCATAAAATTCAACCGAGAGAACGTCAAATTTGTCAGTATGAAGACAGAAAAAAACGGGGTTTAGAATAAAAGTTTTAAAAAATGTCAATCAAAGCTTGGTAAAACACAAAACTTTACACATCTTAAATCCACCAAAATAATAATGTGTATGAAAATGTACATTAAATACAGTGTACATAATTTCCCCAAAACTGACAGCGTTATGTCCGGGATGTCTAAAAAATAAGAGGACCCATTCAAGATCACTTTTTGTCTTTATGGTTTTTTGGCTTTTTGTTTGTTGTGGGGGGGGG